TGCAGAGTGTTGGCCCAACATTTAAAAATAGGGAACTTTCACATAAAATTCCAAATTTGTGGCTTCTCTTGATAAATCAGAAGATCTGGCCATCCTGAGCCCACACCTCGGCCTGGCAGTAATCAGCTAGAGCTCAGTGACGCCTCCCCTCCTTTTTTGTTTTCTCTCCATTGCTTACCCCACCCCCAACTCCCAAATTCTCCAGTCTCTAACAATAGGTTACCTGCTTGGCCCCTGTTGGTACTTGGCTTGAGACTCCTTGGCCATGGCCTGGCACTCAGGACACTCTCATCCCACCCCTCCCACTTCTCTGGCCCCCTGCCCCTGCATTCCCATCTCCTGCCCCATGTGGAAATCCATGCAGCACCCAGTATCCCAGGTTGGGTCCTATTCTTGGTCTTTGCTCTTGCTGTTCTCACTACCTGGGTTGCTCTTTCCCACCACCCACCTGCTCTGTGCAGACATCACCTCCTGCAGGAAGCTTCACAGAGGAACCCAGGCCAGTTAGGTGCCCCTTCTGGGTTCCTGCACCTGACCCATGATGAAGTACCACTGCGTTCTCCCTCCCTTACTTTCTTTGTCTCTACTGCTAATCTACAGGCTCATGGGGCCAAGGGCCGATTTTTATCTCCATGTCCCTAGCGCCTAAAAGAGCTCTCAGTGCACAGTAGGTGCTTCCTGTATGTTAGTCAAATGAGCATTGATAGCAGTTGGAGCAAATACTCACACAGCACTTCCTGGGGGCCAGGCATAGTTCTAAGTGCTCTGTATGCACTCGTCATTTGACCCTCACCACTGTGCTGTGAAATGGTTACTGTTGTTGCCCCCATTTTACAGACAAAGGAACTGAGGCACAGAGAGGCTAAGTGACAGACCCAAGGTCGCACAGTGGGGGGGAGGCAGAGAAGAAGCCACAACAATCACAATTCCTTGAACTTGTTAAGACAAGTGAACAGATATGATGTTGATGGGTGGAGCGGGGAGCAGGAGAGGGAAGGGAGGAATCAGTAAAGGGACACGAAAATCAACTACAATGTATATTGATAAAATTAAAAAAAAATTTTTTTGCATTTCCCAGAATTACAGTGAGACCATGTTTATGACATTGAGAGTACAAAATCTGCCTAAAACAATATGCAAAATGCAATAATCATAAAGAAAAAGATTAATAAAATTTACTTTATCAAAAAATAAAAATAAAAATCACAATCTCAAACCCATTCTTCAATAAAAGGAACCAGGGCTATTTAGAAAAATGGATGATTCCAGGGGTAGGCAGGGAAACCACAAAATGAGCCCCGAGCACCTGTGTCAGTAGAACCCGGGAGCCAACTTGAAGGAAGAACCCAAAGACCAGAGCTGGGGCAATTTGAGTAACAAAAGAAGTAATGATGTTACTGGTTGAGAACCCAAAGAATTAAGAAAAAGGTCCCTGAGTCCAGACTGATATCAATTAATGGGGGAGAAGAGACAAATCTTTCTTTACAAAAGAATTCCAAATAATACATGTAGATACTCTCCCATCCAGGAGGTAGCATTTAACTCTCCCTCCTTGAGTATGGGCTGGACTTAGTAACTTGCTTCTGGAGAATAGAGAATAGAAAGGAAAAACAGTAACTTTGCTATGGGAAAACCTGGAGACACAACCTAAACCAAGTGATGAAGGCTGGCGTCCCCAGCAGTAAGTCACATGGAAGTTGTGTACCTCTGATGTGCTGTGTGGAGGCACCTCGCCTCTGTGGGATCACCCCCCAAAACAACAACCCAGTCTAATTATGAGAAAACATCACAATCCCAAATTGGGGGACAGGCTACAGGGTACATGACCAGTACTCTTCACAAGTGGAAAGGCCTTGAAAAACTAAGGGAAGACCCAGGAACTGGCCAAAAATTCAAATGAAGCTTCTTGCCCCATTCCCACAACCAACCAGCAGCTCACACCTCTTTCCTCAGTCTCTACCATCTCTCCCTTGTCTAGTTTGTTAACAATCAAGTGTGTATCCTTCTAGAATGTTTTGAAACATATTCAGGCTTTGATGTTCCTATACCATTATTTTAAACGCAAAAGGGCGCCTTCTGTACATACTGTTCTTCTCCCCCTTTTTTTCAATTGATATATCCTGGACACCTTTCCTACCAGCACATAAATGGCTACCACATTCTTCCTGCCAGCTATGACATATTCATTCTCTGGCTGACCTATGGTTTATGTAACCAGCCCTAAAAGGGGGCATTCCCAATTCTGGTTCGTTGCTGTTACAGACACCCTTGTCCATATCTTTTTATGTCCTTGTATGGTTATTTCTGTAAGGTAACTTCTCTAGAGGAGGAATTACTGGGTCAGAGGGTATGTGCATTCTAAAATGTAGAAGGTCCTGCCAAATGGCCCTCCAGAGACAAGGTTTGATATGCAGTCCCAACCACAGCGTGCCAGACAGTGAATTTCCTTACATGAGAGGAAAGGCGTGAGGCATAGAAAGCCAGCCCTTAGCTACCATTTAATGAACAAATATTTATGAACCAGGTCCTGGGGCCAGCCCCCCAAGTGCTAGGACCACATTGATAAAAGGGCTTCCGTCTTTGTTCTTGAGCATACAGCTGAGCAGGGCAGGTAGACGCAGACACACAACATTTCATTATGTTGTGATGGGCACTATTAATAACTATGGAAAGAGCAAGGGCACGGGAGACTCACAGATCAGGGTTTGAATTTTGCCTCCTCCGCTTACATGGATGTATGACCTTAGACAAATTCCTAGACTTCTCAGAATCTTGGATCTAGTGCCCTGTTTGCTGGCTTCACCAGATTTCCTACTAGCAAGCATTCTCAGGGGGTCACATTCCTACTCTCCAGTGCCTGAGTCAGTTTCAGAAGCAGTCTGGAGTCAGAGAGCCTTAGAGTCTCACCCAAACATGGATTGAAAAACCTTCCTCAAGCCTTCACTATCAGAAGGCCCTTCTGGTTGAAATACTTCTTATCTGCCTTCATGTTTTTCATTCATTCATTCATTCAATAAATATTTATTCTGTACCTTCTCTGAGCCATGCTACAGTAGTGCTGTGACTTCATCTCTGTCCTCCCAGTCTGGGGCCAGGGGAGAGGGAACAGACACAACAGAGCATGTGTGATCAGGGCCTTTGGACCTCTTGGGTCTTGGCTGAGCAGACACAGTGCTTATCATGTCCACCTGCTGAGTTGAGCAGGCTTTGGTCCAAGACTTGAAAAAGCACACAGGTTTCAGAAAGAGGCCTTCTTCCCATCCCCATCCTCCCACCTCTGCTCTGGATTAAGTTAGAACTTAGTGGCATGTCCACAGGCATGGGGCAAGGAAGGCAGCTAGAAGAACTGGTCCATCTGAGTCAGCACTGACCTTCAAAAACAATCCCTATTTTGTGCCTGTGCATCATTACAGCATCCAGTGGGTTGTTAGGGCTTGGGGGTAGGATTTGGGGAGTAGCACACATGATTCTGAAATGTGGGTCCTATGTGATGCTGGTCAGAAAAAGTGCAAGATTCCAGATGGAGGATGTTTTGACTGCTTGGTGAGATTCTTTTTCAGGAGATATAATTACCAGTTTGTAGGTGAGAAGGGAAGAACAGGAACCAGGAAATGTGTATTGGTAATTGATCTTCTCCAATGGATTTGTTCAGCAGCTGGAGAAGATATTTGAAATTAATTTCTAAGCTGTAAAACACACACACATACACACACACACACAAACCATTGTCACTGTATAAACTGATGTGGAGCCTATTTAGACATAGATTGCTGAGTGAGCAAAGCCCAGTTGAAAAGGATGTGTTCATTATGCTGCTGTTTGCTTAGAAGAGAAAGGAATTTGTATATAGATCTGTGCTTTTATGTCTGTGGAAGGACACATAAGACTGTAACAGGGAAGGGTGGATTGTGGACAGGAGAAAGAGACTCACAGATTATACCTTTTTATGCAGCTAGCTTTTTTTTCCTTATAATATGCATGTATTACCTACTTTTTAAAAAAAGTGAAACCCTTAAACACCACTCCTATACAACTTTTTTAAAGTTTGGAAGAAATTGGGAGTAGTTTCAGCATCGTCTCGGTGTGGTTTTAGAGACTCAGCGGGCAGTCTGGGGACATCCCTCCCTTCACTTGGAGCCTGAGTTCTTGGGATTCCTTTTCTCAGGGCATTGGTTCTAGAACACATGGGTTCCAGTCCTGTCTCCCCTGCCCCATACAGGGTAGCCCTGGGTCAGTCTCTTCGTCAAGCTGAGCCTCCATATCTACACCCTTAACATGGGATCATGCCCCGTCAGAGTTGGTGGGAGTGTGAAATGACAAGATGTCTGTTAATGTCCTCATGACAGGGCGTGTAGTAGGTGCCCAACAAATATTTGAGATCGATGGATGGATGGATCAATGGATGGATGGATGGGTAGATCGACGGATTTTTGGCTGCTATTTTAAATAGGTAGGTAGATAGACTAATAAAAATGATATAAATAACTGGCTTTAGCGTCCTTGATGATGGCTCTGCCAGTTCAGGTGCAAGCTGCTGAGAATGTAGCAGAATTAGCAAGTGGGACTAGGAATTTTTTTCTTTCTTTTCGGGAAACTAAGGGCCAACCACCTTGTCAAATCACCAAACACTCCCAACATCTCCCTGATTAAAGTCCTACTAATGAGCTAATATTCAAGTGATTATTACCTGCCAGGCACTGTTTCAAGCCCAATCTCCATGTTATTTAAATCCTCGGAGGAGCCCTATGAGGCGGGTACTATGACTTTTGCCATTTTACAGATGAGGAAACTGAGGCACAGAGACATTAAGAAACTTACCCAGGGACACACCGCAGGTTCAGTAGAGTCGTGGGGCTACAGTGTGACCCCAGAGCGTGAGCCCCTGCCCACTACACTCCTCTGTTATAAGCCCAGGTGAGGCATGTTCTGCCCTCCTTTTGTACTTTGGGGACTGATTCTCTGACTCATGCAATACCTGTTAGTGCCTTCTGTGTCCCCAGCCCCAGGCCAGGCACTGGAACTATGGAGTTTTTGCCTTCTGGGATATCAGTCTAGTGGAAGAAACAGCCACAGGTAACCAATAAAATGTAGAAAGTGTTCAAATAGAGACAGGGAGCACAGAGGAGAGTGACCAGCTCCACCTCGGATGATGGAGGAAGCTTCCCACCAGCAGGGACATTTGAGTTGGTCCTCAGCCTGGGAGAATGAGTAGAAGTTCACCCAGCAGAGAGGATAACCATGGAAGAATAGGGGAGATGCGGAAGATCATTCCAGGCATAGGAACAGAGATAATACATGCATTTCGGGAACAGCAAGCAGCTCGGTGTGGCTGGGTGGTTGGACGTTGTGGGGAGTGTCATAGATGGGGCTGGTGAGCTGAGGAGGGCCAGACTCTGGGGCACTTGTTATGTCCTGCCCCAAGTAATGACTTCAAGGGCTGCAAACTCCAATGTCTTCATGGGTAAGGCAGGTGAGATAAAGATGAGTGACGTGGGCTGACTCCAGAACTCTGGTCTACACTCTGCATTTCAAACGCATTGAACCATTCTTCACTTCTGTAAAGAATTGTCTCTTCTCTTGAAGCACAGCTCTTGGTATCTTCATTTTCCTACTTCTGAGAGAGATGTGAGCACAGGGTTGATGGCACCACAGAGGATGGAGATAAATGGCATCAGACACTCTGCCTCAGCCTGGGCATCAGGGAGGCAGGAGGGAGTGATGGGGCTTGTGGCAAGCTGGTGGACTCAGATGCCATGTGGGAACAAGGGCTCAGTGTTCTGGAGAAACCAGAAATCTGGACTTTCATGTAAAAATCTCCTGATTCAATGTGGACTCGAAATTTTAAAAAAATATGTAGGTACATCAAAAAGTTCATGGAAAAATACCATTAAAAGATAAGAATCTTTCCGCGAACTTTTTGAAGTATCCTCATATATCACTCAAGCCAACCAGAACACATTTGTTGGCCACCAACTTGCAACCTCTGTTTTTGGCTGAACTCTGCATCAAAGAGCTCTTGTGGAAGAAAGCAGGGCTGGCCCCCAGAAGGATTGCCTGTGGGGGGAGGTTGATCCAGACCCGAGGGTCAGATCAGTACCAAAGGCAGCCTGCCTTCTGGGGGTGAAGCTGCTTCTTATTAAGGCCATGAGTAAGAAGGGACTTTAGGAACCCCTACTCCCACCCTGCTTCTGGGGCCTCTTTTCTCCAAGGGCGGAGGAGGTGGGTGGGGTGGCCTCCCTGCATCAGCGCCCACCACCCTTAACTGCTTGGACCTCTGTGTTGTTTCTTCCAGTCTCTATCTGCTGCTGCCTCTTCATCCTCTTCCTCTTCCTCTCGGAGCTCACCGGATTCATAACGACAGAAGTGTAAGTCACGCTTCCCTGATGGGGCCTTTCAGGGCCCTCTGGGACCCCAGACAAGAAGAGGGAGGGGTGTTAAAAAGGAGAGAGGTCTCCAAACCTTTCAACTTCTTCTTCCAAGCCTGTGGCATCGGTTGCCTCCCTGCTTCTTAAAAAGGTTTTAAAGTTAGAGCAAAGGGAAGTGTTGCTTTGATAAAGCTAAAGAGAACATTTAGGTTCAGTTCAGTGGGGGGAAGGGGAGCCTCCTGACTTCACAGATGAACAGAAATCATCTGCTCATCTGTGCCATCCCTTTGTTTGGCCAGTGGGCTTTTTTCCCTCTGAATCATCTCAGGGTCATTTGATGTGAGAGCAGAAGAGTTCAGAGGAATGGATGTGCAGCTTCCTAGCAGAGGGGGGCGAAGTGGCCGACAGCAGAGCCCGGCCCCCTCCACTAGATGCGTTCTCATTTCCCAGGCCCACACTCAGTAAGGCATCAGCGTGGGCTTCCTGTCAGCGACTGACACAGAGTTAATCCATCCCTGATTCCTAGAATTATCGTCGTCCAGATAACCTAGTAAACACTCTGGGGAGTGTGTAACACAGAATGCCATTGGAATTATTCAGTCGCAACCTCATCGGATACCCCTCAGAGATGGAATTAGACCCAGGAGCTTCCTGCCTCTGGCACTGGCTTGAGGCTTCAGAGCATCTTCATTTCTGTGTTTGCAACCCAAAAAGTCATCCTAGAGCTAGGCCCTGGCCACCCACTCCCTGTTCAACACTGGAATTTTATTTTTCAACTCATGGAATTTCTTGGTTTCCTTTGCCTCCCTCAGAGCCACAGGACAATAGGAAGCTAAAAATATAGCTGCTTAGCCCAAGATGGTTCTTGTTGTTATACAAGCATTATCATCTCTAATCCTGAAACCACCCCAGGATGTAACTCTCTCCTTTTACAGAAGAGGAAACTGAGGCTCACAAAAGTGAAGGGACTTGCCCACAGTCAAGGGTGATGGTAGCTCCAAGGCCTGTCTGCCTTCTGAGCCCATGTGAGTGCTTGTCCTGAACACTGAATGGCCTGGTAAGATGGGAGCACTGGTCTTGCCTCCCCTTAACTGTTTCTGGATATAGCTTCCCACTTCCCACCTTCCCTGTCATTCTGATCCTGTTTTTAACCTTGATGGCACCAAAGCCTAGGGGGCCTCATAGAGTGGTAGGAAGAGCACTGGACAAGGTATCAGGAGACATAGGATCAGGTCTTTGCCTGTTTACTACTTTGCTGTGTGACCCTGGGCAAGTTATTGAACCTCTCTGGGTCTCAGTACTGCTGGCCAAATGAGGGAGGGTAGACCAGAGTCAAAGCTCCCTTCCAGATATGGAAGAGGCTTTGTCTGCTTCCCAAGACATGACCCACTGGTCATGCAAGGATCAAAGAAGGGGTTTTGTTCTCCCCAATCCCCAAATGTGGGGTGACCTTGTCGATTTCAAGGATCTTCCTCCTGTGCACATTTGGGCCACTGGACATCTCAGAGATCACCTCATCATGAATTGGAAATGGAAGCAAGGAGAGCAGTAAGAGATTGAGACTTGCCAGCATTATGAAATACCAATTATATGCCAGGCACCCGCTGGCATCTCCAGGGTACAGACCACTATCTGGGAGGGGAACTGCTGTACAGACTCGTCATGTTCTGAGCAAGGTGAGAGGGGTACACATGTGACAGCAGAAAGGACCAGGTGTCAGCAAGGTGGCTTCATCTATTGTGGGCAGGAGCACCAGCATGTGCAAAGGTCCTGGGGCAGGAATTACATGGGGTATGTGAAGAACAGGAAGAAGCTGGTATGGCTGGAGCAAAGTGAGCAGATGGAGGAGGGGACATGGTGTAGGTAGAACCAAGACAGGCCAGGCCCTGTACGCTGCTGTATAACCATGGAGCTCACTCCCTGACTGTGAGCTCCAGGAGCACAGGGCAGGTGCACTTATTCACTGCTGTGTGGTTCTGCTCTCAGAGGAGCTTAAAATGCTGGCGCTGGACACAGACAGTCAGCAAGCAAACAATTAGACTCTTACCAGTTAGTGACGAGCAGTGCTGTGAAGAAAAAACAAAGGCAGGGTAGGAGATGACAGGGTTCTGCAGGTGCGTGACATTTTGTGAGGGTTAAACAAGATTATTTAGCTGAAAGGTACTTAATAGAGTACCTGATATACTTTAATATCAATAGTTCCATATTTCTTCATATATTTATTCATTTCCTATGTATTCCCCACCTAACTCTAAAAAGGTATTAAGTCTGCTCTGTACCTGGCATATAATAAGTGCTCAGTGAATGTTAATTTCCTTGTCCCCTCCATCCCCACTTCCTGGAGATAAAAACGGGCCTCTCTTGCTCCTGCTGACAACGTGAGGGTGGCATAAGTCAGCTCAGCCCCCAGCGAGGAAGGGCACAGAGGCGATGGGCTGCAGACGAGTCAGTTCTGACGTCAGAGCTGCAGACTGGAGCAGGTGGGGCTGCACCTGCTGTGTGCCTGCCAGTGCTGGGGAAGGGCCACTCAGCAGGGCCGGACAACTCATGCCATTTACCAAGGGCAAGGCTGGCTTCCTTCTGAAGAGCACAGTGTGTTCCTACTGCTCCTCACTTCTTCTCTAGGACTGCCTCTTCCATGCTCCTGGGAGCACCCAGACACTCCGATACCACCTGAAGTCCCTGAAGAGGAAGAAAGAGGAGGGGGTGAGGGGAGGGATAAAAGTGCTAGGGACCATTAATTGAGTGTTTGCCTTGCTTCTGGCTCTGTGCTAAATATTTCTCCAACTGCAGTGTCAGTGGCTGGGGAGAGGGAGGGAGGCAGGAGTAAGAAGAGAGACCTGTCCTCAGCCGAGAGCCAGAGCCTTGGAGATGCAGTGACCTGAATGCCCCCTTGTCTCCATGGTGCAGGAGTCCAGAGTCACAAGGATGAACCCTGAGGACTTAACTAACAATCAGGAGGAAAAAGGATTGCCCCTTTCGGGTCTTCCATTTATCAAAAGCTTCTCTGACTCCTGGGAAGCCCTGCAGGATTGGGAAGAATTGATGGTCACAATTTTCTCTTTTCCGGGGTGGCTGGCCCTCTCTGGTGGTTTGTGATCACGGTGGGTCAGCACTCCCTCCCCCCATGAGATTGTAACCCAAGGAAATGAGGTCACCACTGGTTGGATCAACATCGCGCCAACCCCAGCCTGCGGTTATCAGTGACATAAGACGCTTATTCTGGCCCTGGCCTGGTGGGGAGGGAGGCATGTTTGTTTGAGCTGTTGGGCTCCAACCTGGGCTTTGGACAGGCTGGTAATTATTCTTGGGAAAATGTCCCACAGGGTGTTCTGAGACCCTGTGTTCAGGGGAGAAGCCCGCTCCTTGGAGAACGTGGCTGCAGAATGCTCCAGCCTTTGACTGCCTAGGCTCTGTCTGCCTTTAATAATTATTAACCCGATGGGGATTTGTAATAATAAAATGTAGTAACTGGAACTCTCTACTGATCATTTAAAGCATAATATAACTTATGGTACTTTCCTTGTGAGTGACCACATGCTGGCCGCCTAGGTTAGCACTTTGTAAAGATCATCTCACTTTATCATCACGAAATCCCTTGAGGTAGTTACTACTGTTAGCCACACTTTATACCAGGGGAAAACTGAGGCACCAGGAGGCCGAAACCACACAAGGTTAGTAAGTGGTGGAGCTGGAGTCAAACTCTGTCTGACGCCACAGCCCAGATTTGGCACCCCCACTGTGTCACCCCACCCTTCCCTGCCCAGAGCATTTCAGAGCCCTGGGCACGTGGCAGTTGAATGGAGCAATTGGATGCACACTTCTGGGCTGAGACGGCCAAGTGGGCAGATGGAGCCCCAGGAAGTAGGAGCTCGGAGGTTGTCTTGAACCGTGTCCTCATATGTTTCCCGTAGCAGGCCCAGAGTGGAGAAGCCAGCAGCTTAACCAAAGAGGAGGAGCCAAATGTCCCCCTCTGAGCCCACATTACCTCCTCTGACACTGGACTGTGGGCCAAGGCTGGGTAGAGAGCCGCAGATGTCTCATTAAGGAGCATTAAGGACCTTGCTCTTAGCACAGGAGGCTTGAGGGCTTCTGAGCACGAAGTGACAAGATTGGGTTTATGCCTCAGAAAGATCACCTCTTGTGAAGATGGGTTTGGGGCAGAGTGACCCAGAGGCCAAGGCCCCTGTGAGGAACTGGGTGGTGGGGCTAGGCAGAGGGGCTGAAGGTGCTGGGACCATGGCTTTGGAGTAGGGAGTGGGGCAGAACTGGGCAGCTGGTTGTGGAGGGACCATTTTTGGACACCCTGCTGGTAGGTTACAGATGTACTCATTTTCACCTGGAAGAGTCAGGATTTGAAACTCAAGGTCTCAGAGTGCTCAGTCGCATAACCTACATCCCTCCACTCCCACTCTCACCCCAGGCCCTTGCTGCAAGCCTCACTGCTGTGTAAGTTTCCATTCGATCAAATTATTAAGCATGGAGGTCAGCGAATTTAGGCAGGAATCTGAACTATTCAAGTGCTCTTCTAAAAGCAAATAAAATTGTTTTCCGTAGATGTCATCGGACTCACGCCTCAGCCTAGAATTTCAAGGCCCTCCACTGCATTCCACCTACACTCCCCCACCCATACCTCCTCAGCTCCTTTCTTCCCCTCTCCCTACAAGGCGACGCTGGGCCTGACTGAGCCCTCGACTTCCCGGCCAGGACCAGCGATCAGTGCATGGCTCCTGAGAGCTCCAGCTGAGCACTGCCTCCTCCATTCATACTCATTCCGCACAAGTTTGTGAGCATGTCCTCTGTGCTGAGGCTCAGGGAGCCCTTGTCCTGGTGGGGGAGTCACATGCTGCTACCCATCCTGGCGTGGCAGGTGGAGGTGACCAAGGGAGGCTTGTAGATACAAAGCAAGTGGACCTCTGAGCGCCTCCCTGCCCTGCAGGCACTTGGGCCATGGGGGACGGGGGGCACTCCTGAAGGTTATCAAAAAGGACAATGACACC